TAGTGAGGTACATAAACAAGCAAGACATATTTTCGATAGACTATGATAATGATATGATAAATAAAATGTCAAGGTGTCAGGGAAGTTATGGTAGTCAGGGAAGGCTTTCTGGAAGAGGTGATGTGTACATTGAGTATTGCTGGATGGAAAAATGTTAGATGGGTATGAAAGGAATAAAAGGTGTTTCATGCAGAAGGATTCCAAGCTCTAAATTAGAAAGGGCATAACAAATTCTAGGGGTTAAAATTAGTTTTGTAATACTGGATGTGAAGTAGGAGGGAAGCGAGTTCAAGAGGAGTGGTCAGAGAGTATACTTGAGAATTAGGCATGGGACTTATCCTGAAGATAATGGGGAGTTATTAAGTGACTTTATGCAGGTAATGGCATTATAAGATTTGTGTTTTTAAAAGATGAGTGACTGTAGTGTGGTGGATAGAGTGAAAAGTGGGGGGCAAGATTGGAAGCAGAGAGACGAAGAATAGACAAAAGGTGTTGGGGGCTTGAATTAGGGACACGATAGTGAAGATGGAGAGAGGTAGAAGAATTTGAGACAGAGGAATTTATAGGACTTGGGAGTATTTCGATGTTGGTGGTGAGAGAGAGGCAGGCATCAAAGACGGGGTTTTCATTCACTGAAATGGGAATCATAAGAGAAATGTATTTCAGTAGAATAGAAATGATTTTAGTTTGGGACAAGGTGAAAATGAGTTATCTCTGGTAGATTCAAGTGAAAAATTGGGCCTAGAGGAAGAAAAAGGGACGGAGTTGTAGATGTTGAATTCATTAACTTGTAAAGATAACTGACAACTTCTACTGGACAAATCCAAAGGTGTAGTCTTTTATTTGAATTCCTCTGGCCACGTCCTTTACTTTGATATAGTTGATCATTTCTTTGACACTTGTTTTATGTTTGGTTTCTCAACCATTCTCCTTCCTTTTTGGCATATCATGACTTCAATAAACATTAAGTTTCTTTCCAGAATTTGGGACTTTCAATATGGAGTTACAGAAAAAAAGAGAAAGAGAAGAAGGAGAAGGAGGGAGAGAGAGGGGAGAAAAGGATAGGAAATGTGGAGGAGGGGAAAAAGAAAAAGAAAACACCAAAGTCCAGCTTGGATCTGCAGTACATTGTATTGATCAGTTCATTAATTCAACACACATTTACTATTGAGCATCTCCTCTCATATGCCAGGCATGCACTAGATTAGATGCTGGAGAGGCAATGGTGACTTCCTTTTTTTTTTTTTTTTTTTTT